CTAAAATAATATTTTAAAAATAATTTACAAAAACGAATTATTTTAATTAAAATTCACGAACATTATTTAAAAATATATTTTAATCATTTAGTTTCTCATCCTATTTAAATGTTTAAATGTTTAAAACTCAACAGCGAACCTACTTAAATTCTATAAAGACATTACTCATATACAGGGTGATTGTAGGAAAAATTGTAGGCAGCTTTAAACTTTACATTTTAAAATTAGTTACAATCTTACAGGGTGTTCCATAAGATGGTGGCAGACCAAACTTATGTTTTGTTTTTAATAGAACACCCTCCATTTTATTTTAAATTTATAATCTGCTTCACTTCCACATCACAACAATGTAAAATTGTATCATGTTATACCAGGTATTTAGAAAGTTATAACCAATATTACCTGAAAATCGTATCAAGTTTAACTCCCTGTATAATTAAAAAGTGATATAAGAGCATTAATCTATTACAACCATAGTTTTATAATATTTGTTAAAAATTATAAAACATATTCGTTTTTATAATATTTGTTTAATCAAATACAGGGAAAGTCAATTTTCTTGGTAATTTTAAATAGAACACCCTGTATTTTATATCACTATCGAAAAGTACTAAGATCGTACTTCAAATTTTATGAAATACTCCCTATACCTTAAGTTATCAGTTTTCTAGATATTTTTATTTTTCCAGCAAAGTATTAATTTGGTAAATATTTTAACGTTTACCAATAATTGAGGAGGTTTCCGGACAAGGGGCACATAGGCCTATGTGCCCTTTTCCGGTAATCGTTTTAAATGAACAGCCATGTTTTAAAGAGTAACTCTACAAAGGTTCATTCCTGTATCTGTGTTTTATAATGTGTGGGAGATTTTTGAATACAAGTTGGTACACCTGTTTTGGGCAATATCATGTGGTGTTTGTTGACAACAAACTGTTGACGGTCTCTGCTTTGGTATTGAGTTCAAGATTACGTTTTACGTTAGGTAAACTAATAAGAGTATTAATTTCTGCCATGGCAGGTGTTGGTATTATTAAAAAGAAACGTAAAATTTATTCTCATGAAAGTGTGAAACGTGAGTGTTCTAAGAAGAGAAAGTGCAACGGAGAATCATACATCAATCGTTCTCAGATTGAGGTTATGTCAAAGGAGTTTTGTATTGTAAGTAGCTGTTGCTTAGACAGTTGCTGTAGTAATATCGATGCAGACTGTCAGTTACAACTTTACGATACTTTTTATGGTCAATCTAAATCACTTCAAGATGCCCATTTGGCTAGTTGCATGAAAAAATCTGACAAGACAAATGTCAAGACACACCGGATGAAACCTCGTGTCAAATTAATGGTCTAAAAAGTAACTAAAAGTGTGCCAAAAGTTTATTTTATTATTATTTTAAATTTCAGTGAAACGTGTGAGAATTATTCAGTCAAAAATCTTAGAGGGCTTTGAAGAGAACGTGGCTTTACATAAAAATCGCCCTCATAAACTGACTGAGAATGTCATTGACTTTATGGGATCTTATTTATCATCTGTTCCACATGACAAAAGCTATTATTGTTCAGAGAAAACATCCATTTTGTATTTTGAAAACCCACGAATTTATAGAAGTTTTCAAGAATATTAACAAGACAAGACCAGGCGGAAACTTAAAATGTCCTATGTGCATATTTAGAACTTTTAAATCTCATTTCAACTATGGATTTAGGGCCCCTAAGACAGATGTTTGTGATTTCTGTCATGAAAGTGTGAAGAAACTGAAGCGAAACTCCATAGACGAGTGTAGAGTCCAGTTCGAACTACACAAAAGAAAAATAAAGAGGCGGCAGTACTGGAAGAATCATTACATTGGACAGTCAAAGACAGATCCTACTCTCGTATTCTTAGAATTTGACTACGGTCAAAACTATCCTATCCCTAAACTCAACGTAAACAGCCAGTTTTACAAAAGAATGTTGTGGCTATATACTTTTAATATTCACAATCACAAAGATAATTTATCGTATTAATATATAGATAATAAGTCTATTTCTGGAAGAAGGGCACATAACACTCATATTTAGACATTTATCTGTATTCATAAATATATCACATACTACTAGGAGTTTAAAAAACTGTAGCTAAGGTTATATAAATTATGTAAAATATTATCACACAAAAACTTCATAAACGTGATTAAGTTAAATAAAACTTAATTTTAAATTAGGTTTTTTTCAAAACCGCCATTTTGGCTATGTGCCCTTTGTCCGGAAATGTCCTTAATTATTGTGAGTTGGTCATGATTAATTTGTCAGAAACTGACAGTTTTAACTTCTTACGGTGCCTTATCCTTAAGGACGTTCGCCATTACATTTGCCTATTTAAGCTTATTTGTAGCAGCCCTGAATAGTTCTATGGAGGTCATGTTCGTCCATTGTCGTAGGTTTTTAAGCCAAGAGTTGCGTCTTCTTCCTGGTCCCCTTTTGGTATTGACTTTGCCTTCGATTATAAGTTGGAGCAGTTCATACTTTTGATTTCTTATGATGTGAACAAAATATATTACAGTGTAAATATGTGACAGTTTAACATTATTGTTTATTAATTCAGTATTGGAGTACACCGTAAATTAGCAACAATTATTAGTAGAAGTACAACGTTTGGATCACTATAGAGATAGGGAAATCAATGTGTTAGAGAGAGAAGTATTTTTGTAGTGAGTAAGAGTGAGATAGATGACGTCACGTCGAAGGAATCTCCTCAACCGTAATTCAACTATTGTCCGCTAGGTGACGCGTAATTCAACTATTGTCCGCTAGGTGGCGCCGCCAGTTTCAATCCAATTTTAAATTAAAATATTAAATAAATTAAAAATTTTAAACAAAGAAATCTACATTACCGACTGTCATAGTTCAGCTATCCGCTAGTTGGCGCCGCCAAACATTCGCCATTTTTAGTCCAATGTAAGCTAGTTGGCGCTATTTTTTAAATTAAAATATTAAATAAATTAAAAATTTTAATCTAACTTTTATAGTTCTGTGCGGAACGCTCTTCTTCTTTTTGTCAACTGTCAATTCTTGTTAGGGTCAATAATCGAGACATAACAGATATGAAATAAAAGGTGTAGTAAATTAAATACCAAAATATGTTAAACATTTCTTTATTTTTTCTTAGAATAACGTTACACAATGTTTTTCTTTTTATTCTTTCCGCAACTGCCAATTCTTCTTCTTTTTTCGTAGAGTTATGGACAATAAAGATTGTAGGTATGTAGTGCCTAAACGACTTAACGTAGAGATACATGGACAATAAAGGTTGTAGGTATGTAGTGCCTAAACGGCTTAACGTAGAGAGATATGTGAGGTATCATGCCATAAAGGCATTAGATAAAAATGATTGGATTTATCCAATACAGGTGATTTTTACGTAACGCGTGACTTTAAGTTTTCAGTACCGTCATGTCTTTGAGTGAGTACAGACATAAAGTTGCACAGTTTCAAGAGAAACTCGTTGAGTTACGAAAAGATATTAAAGTATATCAGGATTTAAGAAAAATTATCACACAGTTAGAGAACCTACATATTAGTGATAGTGTCATAAATTGGAATTCAGAAATAATACAAGAGCAGCAGCAAAGCACCTATATTTATGCAGATAGACGACTACCATAAGCAACATATTTACCTATGGGCAATAATAACACAACCTGCGAGATCATGAAAAGTAAAATTAATAATATATTCGCATTGACGTGTTTAATTGTAATGCCTGTATTTGTCTTGATTTTAAAAATTATTAACAAAAAATGTAAATAGAAAATTTGAATCTATATGTAATATAAAAGTTAATGAGTAAATAAGGAGTTTTAATTAAAAGTCAATAGTTTTCTATATTTTTTTTATTTATTTTAAACATAATTATACAGGTAATATTGTATTACAGAACCATTGTCGTAGGTGATCCACGTTTCTTTGGGTACATAAAAACAGTCCATTGGAGTGACAGGGGTTTGTATCAGGAGCAAATTTGCAAACGCAAGGTGTACAATCAAATTTGCAAACATCAATAATTGTAGGAAAAACTCCAATCATATTACATTTCTGTCTTAAAAAATCTGCTTTTTTTTCTCCTCGAACGTAAATGTAATCGGCAGCATACAATAACTTGGATTCTAGTACTTGATTTATTTTGGAATATTCAACATCACCATTGGAATATCGAATGCCATGCACGTTTTTCTCCAAGAAGAATACAGTCTTCTTATCTTGATTAGTTAATGAAGCAAACGGTTGCGGAGACGTAAATATGTAATGACATCGTTTAAAACCAATTTCAATGCTGAGTTCCTTGGGTACAAACCATCCATCTATCATAAATCCCTGTATGTCGACTAAAGCAATCCTCATTATTGAGCGCGATAATTGATACTGAGTGACATATTCTGTAAACCTACTTAAATAATATTTTTGACAACTTCTGTTAGAGGAAAGTATTCGAGTAGGCTGTCGTGAACAATTAAACAGTAGACTCGAGTGCCTGCCGGAAAACCTTCATCTGCTTCGATTTCCAGTTTAACATCAACGGTTCCTGATCTGAATGACGTATCATCCTGCTTAGAACAGTCAAAAACAAATAAGGCATATTTCTTGAATGCAGCATAATCTAAGATAGGATGTTTTGTTGAGGAAAGACTATAACTAGGAAAGAATTCCGTATAGTTATAGTGAGCTATAGCATAGTCATTTTTTGCAAAATCCAATTGCATTCTCTCGTTAGGCCAATATTCTCCATTAATAACCAATCGTACGCTGGACATTCTAATGTGATCAAATAACGTTGGATCGGCGTGTATGTCATCTCGTTTAGAAGTTTGAAAAGCCACAATGACATAACGTGGACGTTCAACAGATGAAGTTGTCTTTACACTCCATATTTCACGTCGAGATCCTGGCGTAAGTGAAGGTAGTTCATTGAGCTCCCATTTACGGAAAGGTATAGTTATCGGTGCATTATTCTTAATCGGAGTCATT